ACGATCGAATCTGGAAATCCGGCGGAATCGAGATGTGCGTCAGATTGGGCTACATCGGCACGGAGTCGATCTGGATCGGATTGGCCGCGCCAGGATGCTCAACGGCGCTATGCGACTACGGCAAATTCGTGTCGTGACGACCTCGGCGTTGGTTTTTGACACCGCGTGGATCGTTCAACCTTGAACGATCGGCGGCTTTTCGATCGCCCGATCGTTCCATATAGGCCGATTCTGGGCCACTGGCGGCGTTCAACCTTGAACGCCCGCGGCGGGGTCGCCGATGGTCGACACGACGCAAACCTACCGTATCGAGCCGCATCGGGCCATCGAACTATAGGAAACCAATCGGATCGGACAAGCCAACATCGGAGATCGGCTCGATCGGAAGCCGATGGACCCAGGCGCGCAGCTGCCCTTCGCAGAGCTCCGCACCTGCTCTATAGCCGCCCGCGGGGCAGCCTGGCGGGACGGATGTACACCCCCATGCTCCAGGAGAAGCGCGGGAGAGCAGCTCACGCAGAGGAGCGAGGAGAAGGATGGCACCCAGACGAGCCGTTCACACCGTGAGCCGGCTCGACTCCAGGCACAAGGGTGGGCGGTGGGGGGGAGGAGGGGAGGGGGGAGGGGGAGGAGAGTGCGAGGGTTAGAGCAAGCTGAGGGATCGCCTATCTGGCCCTGTTTGTTTGCGCGAAGCGCTGGGCATCGACACTCTTCGATGTTACCTGCGGAGCCAGCTCACCATCGAACAGGGTCAAGGTGATTGACAGAGCCGAGATCAAGAAGCCGATCTCGAGGATCATCGTGTCGAATGCTGGGAAGAACCACAGACGGCCATGTGTGTACGTGACCCACCAACTGGACCAGCACAGCGCGAGTGCCGGCCACCACCTGGGCTTCCCGATCACGAGTAAGGAAGGTATGAGTGCGAGGGCGTTCAAGACGACTAGCCCTTGAGCTGAAAACCCTCCACTTGGTGGCGTGAGCAGCCACATGATAGGGCCGTCGACAACGTTTCCTAAGAAAGCCAGGAAGAATATCAGTCCATACAGCCGTATAGCGCACAAATGTGCTGTGGTCGCCCGAATCTTGGGTATAAGCATGAGAAAGACACAATACCGGCACTCGTCTGGACCGACAAATCTATGTTTGAGGCGTGTCTCTTCAGGACTGCGACCACAACTCGATCTACCAAGACCTGCGCCAAAATGGGTACGGATGAAAATCGGCTTGGATACGATGGTTATGACAAGTGCACAAACGAACGTTTCGCGGACGCGTGAACGGGCATCCAAAATGATATCTCACATCGCAACTGTATAATATCTGTTGACCTACGCCATGAAGCCATGAACGCACTCCCAGCCTCCAGACCGCTGGTCATATCTTGACTGCGCGCAAGGAGTTCGGGGCGAGGGGAATAAACCTGGAAAGCGAGAGGATTTCTAGAATTAGAAGGGATCGGCCCTTGGTCAAGACGAAGCCTGGACGAGGACAAGTTCGGGTGAGGATGAATCGAGAACCTCTGAGATCCCGCGGCTCTGGAGCATGTCTCGGGCGCCGCGGCCTCCTCGGAGCGTTCCGGAACGCTCTTAGAACGCTGGTGGAACGCCCTGGAACGGATTTCTCCCCGTCCTGGCCCCACCTGGCTTGCCAGCGGGACAGCGTCCCCGGGGCCAGCTCTCCCTCCCGGAAGTATATTCTGTTGACGGTCCCGAGGCCCAGCAGGGGCCTCCGGAGGCCAAAAACAGCGAAAAAAACACCTCCCGTCGCAATTCTGTCGTGCCTCGAGGGGGTTATGGGTACTCCAGATTTCGTAATAAAAGGGGGGGGGTCTCATTTCAAGGGGGGTCTCTTCCAGGCTATCTTGGAGGCCTGGGGGGGTCTGGGGACGATGTTTTGGAGGGTTCTCCCACGGGGGGGGGTCCTGAAATGGCTTGTCTTGGAGGGTCCAGACCCCCTCCCTTTTATTACGAAATCTGGAGTAGGTGGGGTGGCTGGTGGGGCCCAGGGACACAAAAAAAGAAAACACACAAGTCCCAGGATTCCCCGTATTTCCCGTCATCGCCTCGGTTCTCGTCGTCCCCCCCCCCCACTCCCCGTCTTGTCCCACGTTTCCTGGGGAGACGACGATTCATTGTGCCTGCGTGCTTTTTTATTCCCCCTCCCGGGTGGTGTCGTTTGTGTTCTGGCCGAGCCAGGACGCCCGAAGAGGCCGACGGCAAAGTCCTTCTTGGGGGGGGACCCCTCGGCGGCAGCAACACGAGGGGCGGACGGCCTGGGGGGGGGGAGCGCTGCGTGCATCCAGGGGCTCCGACTGTCGGCGGTGGACAACCCTCCCGTTAGTAAACCACCCTCTAGTGAAAACGGCCGATCCGGGAGATCCACGTGGACCTCCGATCCTCGAAGATGATTTATTGTTGTTGTCATTGTTGTCTCCACGCCCAGGGCGGAGCTTGGAGCACAGCAGGCACGACACGAGGGCCAGGCGATCCTGGCTTCAGGTCGGGCATGTCCTCCTACAGGCGGGCGTTAAAAGAGAACTAAAACAGTCAAAAATAGTCCAAATGGTGAACGTTTTCTTGGTCGGCGTTTCGATACTCGACGGAAAGGGGGAGGGGAGGGGTCTGGCTCCGGACCTCTGCATAGCGCGACTGTTTGCAACAGTGCGTCCGATGGGGGAGACTGACTCCACCTGCTCGAAACAGGCGCCAGAAACAGCCAAGATCCACTACTCCATGCGGGGGGGGGGATGGGGGGTTCGAGGGCCCGCGCCGATCGGCAGAACAATGCCAAAAAAACAACCACATGGCACGAAGCATCGGTACCAGACTATTTTTGAATGCTTTGTCGGCGGTGGACAGGACCTCCCTTTAGTAAACCACCCTCTACTGCAAAACGGCCCAAGACCGAAACCGACGACCCTGGACCCGCAGAATGACTGCCGCGAAGCCCTCTCGCGAACCGAAAACGGCCAATTCGCTAATCGACGTGTCAGGGTAGGAGTCGGCGACTACAATGGGTGCGGTTTGCGAAGGGTGCGGTTTGCCTCTCGTCATATCTGCCCCTCCCGCCACCGGGAAACGGATGACACTGTCACTCAATGCGACCGAATCACATGGCACTGTGGCTCCTCCTAGTACAGTGGAGCACACATCGAGGATGACAGTGTCGCTGGAAACGACGACAAAAGTGACATTGTCTCTCACAAAGGCCCCGGAAAGGCCGCCACAAAGCAACTCGCAAACCGCTCCCAGGCGTAACCGCACCGATTGTAGTCGCCGAAGGAGGTCGATCAACCAACCTCCCATCTTGAGCATTCCTCCTGCAGATAGACATGCCCGACTTGATCCTAGCTCTGGAAAGGCCCCCACCTGCTCTCCGGGTTCGGTCCGTCCGCCCTGAAGAGGCTCTCCGTCCAGGGCACCTCCAAGGGGGCCTTTTGGGCTCTCGGCTCGGGGAGGGGGCGACGGCAAGTCGCGGCCCGAGGCTCGCGCGGCAGGTTCGTGTCGTGTCGACCCTCCTCCTCCTCCTCCTCCTTCTCCTCCTCCTCCTCCTCCTCCTTCTCCTCCTCCTTCCTCCTCCTCCTCCTCCTCCTCCTCCTCCTCCTCCTCCTCCTCCTCCTCCTCCTCCTCCTCCTCATGGCGGGATCGTTCAGTCTTGAACGATCGGCCGTTTCCGAAACGTCAGATCGTTCAACAATGATCCGATCCTGGGCCACGGGCGGCGTGAATCCTGAAACGCCCGCGCCGAGGTCGCCGCGAGTCGACACGACGCGAGCCTGCCGCACAGGAAGAGGGGGCCACGAGACCTGGGGAGATGTCGTCACCCTGGCCACGACGTCCCACCCCGCCCCTCGTTGTGTGACGTTGGCCAGACTCTGAGCGACGGCGCTCGCAGCCTTTGCTTCACTCCTGGTCGTCTCCCCCTTCTTCGGCGCCTGGCGGCTTGAGGATCCCAACGGGGCGCCTCCGGCGGGCGTCCGGGACGATCCAGGCACCCCAGGAGAGCTCCCGGCGAGGCACAGCTGCTGGGGAGCACGCTCTCGGCGAGGCGCAGCTGCTGGAAAGCATCCCGAGGCGCGAAAACCCCCAAGAACCCATGAGCACTTTCTCCCCCGCAGGCGACCCAGACATCCTCCGAGGCGTTTTTTGTTCAATCCGCGGCCCAAAATCTCCCAGCCGACTCCCCGGGCAATAGTTTCTCGTCCCGGGTCCATTTTAGATAGCCCTGCGTAGGGGCTCGACCACAAGAAATCTTCCGCACAAGAAACTCAACCCTGAGATCCCAGGACGCCCGTTGATCTTTGGTGTGGGAACGTCACGCCTTCCACAGCAAAAACATCGAAACCGAAGAAACCCTGGGCACCCTGGAGGCATGCAGGGAGTTTCTTGACATGGGCCTCCACTGTACGGGGCCCCACAACGGGCCCTGGAGCCGACCTCGACAAAAAAGAACGCCAGGATGAAAAGCATCAGATCGCCGGAGATCTGGGGACACCACCTCGGGTCATCACCACTCTTCTAGGATCGGCGCGGGGTGTGCCGAGTGGGTAGGGGGCTATAGGTGGATGCGAATGTGGGTTCTATCTGGCCTAGCTTTGCTCACGAGTGGGCTACAAGCGCCACAAGCGTCCTGCGGGCTAGACCAAGTGAGCGGAGCCCACGTTGCCCAGATCCCTGACCTCCCTAAGCCATTTGGGGCGTGTGCCCTTTACGTATAAGCCAGATTAGGCCAGATACAACCCAATCTAGCAACGTGCAGTGCCTGCCGGCGCGTTGCTTTGCGTAGGTGGGCTGTGGTGCGGTCCCTCCTCGTGCCTCTCGGCCTTTGGCTGCCCAGCAAGAGCATCCACCTTTAATAACCCCCTCATCGCCTTTGCAACCCCCGCGACGGTCCAAGTTGGCCACCCCCGCCTGACGTCTGCTCGCCGCAGGCGAGGCGCCCGCTAGAGGGGCCCGCCGCCGCCAGAAGGGGGACGGAAGGTGCGGTACGCGCGGCGCCTTCTGGAGGCTGCAGCGGGTGCCACTCCCCGTGGATGAAGCCCTGCGGGAGGGAGGAAGGGAGAGAGGGAGGGAGGCGAGGAAGCAGAGAGGGAGGATGGAAGGAAGGAGGGGGGGCACTCCTCCTCCTCCTCATCCTCCTCCTCCTCCTCCCTCCCTCCCTCCCTCCATCCCTCCCTCCCTCCCCCTTCCCCTCCCCCTCAGGGAGGAGGGAGGGGGGAGGAGGGAGGAGGGAGGAGGGAGGAGGAGGAGGAAAAGGAGGAGGAGGAGGACGACGACGAGGAGGAGGAGGAGGAGGGGTCGCCCAAGCCCTTCGGAGAAGCCCTCCGCCGCCCCCTCCCCACGACGCGAGAAGAGCAAGGAACGACGGCACCGAGGCGCCGCCCCCGCGGGGCCCCGCGCCAAGCCAGGGGGCCCGCACGGGCTCCCGCACGGGCTCAGACATCCGCCGTCGAGCCGCTCTGCTTCACAGCGTGGCCCCCCCCCCCACTGCACCCCGTCCCTGCGAGGCGGGGCTGATATCCACATCCACCGCCTGGGAGCCGACGCGCTGGCGCCCCAGCGGGCGGTGGATGTGCATCTATATGTTGGCCCCCGGGGGCCCGAACATGTCCATGTCTACCGCCTGCCGAGGTCCCGAAGAGTGACCATCCAGACGGTGGTCATGTATAAATTCCCGCCCCGGATTCCCCGGGGCCCGTTTCTCCTCCCGAGTCGTGCCTGACGGCCCGGGGGGCCCAGCGAGGGCCCCGAGATCCCAGAGCGATCAAAAACTTTCCGGCGCGAGGGCTTCGCAACGAGAGGAGCTCTGAGACTTGATACGCGTGAGCCGTTGCGTCTTCTTCTCGGGTACGCATGACCCCGGGTCAGCGCAGACCAGTGTCGGCCAGGGCCCAATCGCGAAGCCCGGCTGGCCGCTTCGCAGCGCCCAAAGCCGCGTCAGCGGAGGGCGAAAAAGGGGAATCGGACGCACGTGACTCCCAGACCCAGGCCAGCCGCGGGGGATTGGTTTTGACGCCCATGAGCGCTGACTCCCACTACGTGAGTCCGGATATTGCTTTGTTTCTTGATTACTGATGTTACGATGCTTATTGTTGATCATATTACCATTCTAATGATGATCTTCCTAATGATTATACCATTATAATGATATGTGTTACAATTCTATTCCTATATCATCATTATATTACAATTCTAATGATTACCATCATACTATCATATTACCATTCTAATGATTATTGTTGATCATATTATTACTAGTTTTCCTAGTGTTTCCCCTGTTATTTGCAAGGAGCGCCTCCAGGCCGCCCGCCGTGCTCTGCTGCACCGTGACCACGCCGTAGTCGGTGTGCTCCGTGCAGGAGCCCCCTGGGCCGCCGGGGGGGGGGGAGGGGGGGGGCCCAGTTTCCCCCGGGGCCGTAGGCTACCCGAGGAGGAGGAAGAGGAGGAGGAGCGGAGGAGGAGGAGGAGGAGGAGCAGGAGGAGGGGAGGGGGAGGAGGTGGACGACGCTCAGGAGGAGGAGGAGGAGGAGGAGGAGGAGGAGGAAGGTGATGGGGAGGAGGAGGAGGAGGAGGAGGAGGAGGAGGAGGAGGAGGAAGAGGAGGACCTTTTCCGAACGCGCCAGAGCGTGACCGAAATGCTTGGCTCCAAACCAGCACGACTTCCAAGCTCGGTCGCAATTTCGATAACACTGCGTTTTCGGACACAATTTCGGACACATGTGCGGTCTCGGGGGCGGCCAAGAGGGGGGCGGCAAGGAGGGGGGGGGTGCAAATCATGGCTGGCGGCATGGGCGCGGCCCAGTGGGGGGGGGGCCAGGGACGTAATTGAATAATAAGATGCGCCCACCCCCGCCCCTGACGGTCACTTGTTTCTTCCATCACACACACACACACACACCATTTCGGCTGGTAGGGGCCGGGCGCCATGACACAAAGAGGCAGAACCAACTGCGACCCTGGACGACCCCGAGCCTGAGACCCTGGCGCGGCAGCTTCTCACGGCGGGCCAGTTTGCCCTGCTTCGGGCGCTGAGACCTGCACCCTTCAACCTGCCTCGACAAATGCCACAGACAGATGGGGCCCCAGGGGTCTGGTCGTGTTCATCGTTTCGGGGAGACGCCAGAGGGCATGGGTCAAAGAACAAAGCACTGCATACGCATGAATTCTCAGAGGCCCGCGTGGATTTCTCGGATCGGCGCTGGCGCTAGGGGCGGCGCCGGAGGGGAGGGCCCAACGGAGGTCCGAGAAATCTGCTCGGGCCGCCGAAAGTTTATGTTGATTGAGTACCTGTTTCTTCGAACACACCTGGAGTCACGTGGAAATAGTTTGCCCAGTAGTTTTTTGCATGGCAAGAGCGGACCCTGGAGAACCGGAGCCCTGGAAGCTGTTTGTCGCCGTGTTCGGGCTCATGGCGATTCGTTCCTGCACGCATACCTTCCAGAGGCGTCAAAGATGCCCCAAAGTCTCAAGACTCCAAGATGGCCCCCGCACTCCCTGGTTTCCCCCACCAGAGGAAGCCCGAAGAAACCCCGAAGAAACTCCAAACGAGCCCTGAAGAGGGCCAGAACGGTCCTTCGAAGAGTGCGCGAATCAGACTACCAAGCCTTGCTCCGAACACTGGCCCCGTCATGGTCGCCGAGTGTTTTCGCTCCGTTCTGCGCGCAGTGATCCAGGCTGACGAGTGCGACACTGACTCAGGGCTTCAACTCTGATCAACCTCAGTTCTCCATCAAAATCGGCTCCTACGGTAGAGGGAAACAATTACTGAACACTCCCCCCCCCCAAAACTCAATGTTGGCACGCGCGGGGGAGACTGCGGTCGCAGTGCATCTCATCAGACCCACCACCAACTTTGAACACTTGGGGGGAGGGGGGGGGCGTTGACGGATGAATGCGGCATGTGTTCGCTGAGTTGTTCCGAGGCCTGCACCACCCTCCATGGGCACACCAGCACAGCCCGCCGACGACGTAACTCGAGCAGCCTCTCCCTGGAGAGAGGAGGAGGAGGAGGAGGAGGAGGAGGAGGAGGAGGAGGAGGAGGAGGAGGAGGGATGAGCAGGAGGAGGGATGAGCAGGAGGAGGGATGAGGAGGAAGAGGAGGAGGAGGAGGAGGAGGAGGGGGCCCCGCTGCGCCACGTCGGCGGCGAGGCAGCAGCGCCTGCGCCCGCGGGCGGCGGGCCGGGGCGACCGAGGCGCGACCCTTGGCCGGCGTGCCAGAGGAGGAAGAAGAAAGGTAGGGGGCCAGATTAGGGCGACGAAATCTATACATATCCACTGCTCCCTGGCCAGGCCCATCCTCAACCCCGCAGCGGTGTATACGCCACGCCCTCCTGGCTTGGCCAGGAGGGCGCATACACAGCTCCTGGGTTCAGGATGGGCCTGGCCAGGGAGCAGTGGATATGTACAGATTTCGTCGCCCGACAGATGCGAACCCTACTCCAGATTTCGTAATAAAGGGAGGGGGGTCTCATTTCGGGGGGGGGTCTCTTCCAGGCTATCTTGGAGGGCCTGGGGGGGTCCGGGGGCGGCGTTTTGGAGGGTCCTCCCACGGGGGAGGTCTGAAATGGCTCGTCTTGGAGGGTCCAGACCCCCTCCCTTGTGTTACGAAATCTGGAGTACCCCTACCCCCCACGATGTCTGAGGGGGAGGGAGGGGTTCATCTCGTTCGGGAGGCGAAGTGAACCCCACCCTCCCCCCCTCAGAAATCGTAGGGGGCAGGGGTGGGGTTCGCATCTGGCCCCCTGAAAAGGGGGGACGAGGCGACCGCGGAAAACAGGAGGGGGGGGCACCCGGACGCGGAGGTTCGAGTCTACAACCATGCAGCGCCAAGTGCCAAGTGCGCCGCTTCCCGGATCGCAGCGCAGCGGCTGCACGCGTGGCAGCGTAACGGAGCGACGGCGAGGGCGAGGCGGGCAAGCACAAAGAACGGAAGGACGCTGCGGCCGATCCGGTGCGTGGCCGTGGTCACGCCTGGCGTTTCTGCTTGTTTCACCTGCACCCTCCTTCTCGGGGCGGCGATGCCTGGCTCGTGGTTCCACGGCGAACGCGCCCCGCATGCGGCCTGCTTCCATGGCCGATCGGCTCTGGAAGCCGTGTTCGCTGGGCTCCGAGAGGCAGCCGCGGAGAACATCCAGACTCGCCTACTGCTTCCGCTGCTGCCGCATCCTGTGCGCCCCAGACTTCCGGCCACGGCGGCTGACACACGGCGCTCAAGGCGCTAGTAGGTCCCCTGTGGACCCCCTGTGGACCAACAAATAAACGACACCACCCCATTCAAGGCCCCCCGGGGCGTAGCGTAGCGTATGGCGTGGGTCTTTGCCTGGTATGCGCTGCGGCGCCCGATGGGCCGTAGCGCAACACGGAGGGCCGCAGGTGGGAAGGGTGTCGTTTGTTTTTTGGTCGACCTTGTGGGGCACCCGCTACCAGGGATTACGGATCTGTGGATCTGACGCGTGGGCGCCAAATCCACCGACGAAGGCGAAGCATTGGTCCAGCGTCGCCCTATATTTGGCGACAGAGCACACCGAAGCCGTATGGAAACAGGACTTTCGCTAATCCACGCACCTCCATCCGTGTCTGCGCTTTCTCGACCTTGGGAACAAGTGCGCAACATGCACATGCCCTTGACCAGAACATCTCCCGACTGGAGGAGGGGGGGCGAGATTCACGATCAAACGAATGGGGACGTGAGGATACGGAAGAATGCACGCAAGTCCGATATCACATTTGTTTCGTGACAAACGCCCTCGGACCTTTCCAGCCCTGCATCCCTGGGGCCAATTCACTCATCCCAGGACGCCTTTTGGGCCCAGGGCTCGAAGCTGACCTCCGAAGTGTGGGCAGGCGAAGAAACGACCGCCTCGATCTGATCGAGGCGTCAGGTATCTGGACCGAGATATCAAAGATCGGCATCTGGACCCGCCCTGGGGTCCGCTGTAGACAGAATCTCCAGGAGCATCAAGCCGTGGCGACAACTGGCCTCCCACGCTCAAAGATCGCCTCGGCCCTCCAAGGATGCGCCACCAAAGTGGAAGCGAAGCGAATAAGCGAGATCGCAAGTACTGCGAGCAGATCTGCCTATATGTGTATATGTGTGTATGTGTATGTTTGTGTGTAGGTAGGTAGGTAGGTAGGTAGGTAGGTAGGTAGGTAGGTAGGTAGGTAGGTAGGTAGGTAGGTAGGTAGGTAGGTAGGTGTGCACGTGTGTATGTATGTATGTGTGTAGGTATGCATGTATGTATGTATGTACGAATGAATGAGCGGATGAATGAATGTATGATCGTACGTGCGTACGTATGTATGTGTGTGTGCATGTATGTATGTATGCATGCATGCATGCATGCATGCATGCATGTATGTATGTGTGTATGTGTGTGCATGTGTATGTATACGTGTACACATGCATATATGTATGTATGTGTGTGGGTGTATATGGATGCATGCATGCATGTATGTAAGTATGTAAATGTGTGTATGTATGTATAGATGTATGTATGTATGTGTGCATGTATGTACGTGCGTACACACGTATGTATATGTATGGATGAATGTATGCATGTGTGCATGTATGCATGTATGCATGTATGCATGTATGCATGTATGCATGTATGTATGTTTGTATGTATGCATGTATTTAAGTATGTATGTATGTATGTATGTGTATAAATGTATGTATGTGCTTAAGTATGTGTATGTATGCATGTATGCGTGCATGAATGAGTGTGTGAATGTGTGTGTATGTATGTATGCGTGTGTCTATGTATGTATTCATGTTTGTACGTATGTGAAAACAGGATGATTGTATGCATGTATGTATGCACGTATGTATGTATGTATGTATGTATGTATGTATGTATATATGTATGTATGTATGTATGCATGTGTGTATGAATGTATGTGTGTGCATACGTACGTATGTGTGTGTATGCTTGTGTGTATGTGTATATGTATGTATGCTGTATAATGTATATGTATACATACATACATACAGCTTCAAATTAGAGACACGCATGTGTGTGCGTGTGGATTCATACTTGTTTGATGACAGTACCCTCTACTCTTTTGGCGGCATCGTCGAATGCGGCAAATGTCACGTAGCCTCGTCTCTATCAGGGAGAGGGAGGCATCGCGACCGACACTGTGCCCGAAGATTAGCCCGAGTATGACCGAAACTGGCGCCCGAACTTTTCTGGCCGCGCCCGAGTGTGACAGAAATGTACGGATCGAAACCAAGACGACTTCCAATTTCGGTCACCATTTCGGTCACACTACGGTGTCGGTAACAACTTCGGGCATGTTTTCGGTCGCCGATCTTTGCTCGGTCACGCACCTAAGCGGCTAATAGGGGCGGGGTGACAGGCGCGGCAAATGCGGAAGGCGCAAAACGAGCACGGAGGTCGTGCGCATCACAATTGGAAGACGCAAGAACGGCATGAACATAAACTGGTGGCGCTCCGCGCAGACTTTTTTGGATCTGCGCTGGACAGCCCCTCCATGGCGCGCGCCAGGGGCGGCGCCGGAGACGCCGCCAGGGGGGGGCCCAGCGCGGATCCAAGAGATCAGCGCGCAGCGCCAAAAACTAATGTTCATGGCATGTTTTCTTCTTTTTCGAGCGGAGGTCCTGCGTGGCAGACATCAAGGATCTGCTGACCCGGGTCAATCCAGACCCGGGTCAGTCAGGCCTTGCAAGATCCTGCAAGGTCCTGCAAGATCCTGCGCCCGAACCCAGATCCATGCGAAGGCGCCTGCCAAATCCTGCAGGATCCTGCACCCAAACCCGGGTCCATGCGACCCTGGCTGTGCAGGATCCTGCAAGATCGGGCGCTCTGGCCGACCCCCGTTTGCATGGGCCCCCGTCTCACGGCTCCCGACAAGCACTAGATCCAGACCTCCGACCTCATGATTTTTTCATTACGTCCACCCCCAGAAGTCTGGACCCCTTCCCCAGGACCGGTTTTTCATCCTGTGCCGTGTTTTGACGGTCCCGAGGACTGGTGGTGGCCCCCAGAGGCCGAAATTAGCTTGGCGAAGGACCCAACCATATGCAGCTGTGAGTACAGCAATAGTGAACATCTTCTTCGGCGCGGCGCCGCCATGCCAACGCACCCACTGGGAGCTTCGGTGGAGCTCCCTATGGGGCCACGAAGCGTGTAAGGGGTGTGCCGAAATGGGTGCGGCGCCGCCATGCGAACGCAGCCACTGGGGCCTTCGGTGGAGCTCCCTATGGGGCCACGAAACGTGAAAGGGGTGTGCCAAATTGGGTGCGGCGCCGCCATGCCAACGCAGCCACTAGGGGTGTGCCAAATTGGGTGCGGCGCCGCCATGCGAACGCAGCCACTGGTGCCTTCGGTGGAGCTCCCTATGGGGCCACGAAACGTGTGAGGGGTGTGCCAAATTGGGTGCGGCGCCGCCATGCGAACGCAGCCACTGGGGCCTTCGGTGGAGCTCCCTATGGGGCCACGAAACGTGTGAGGGGTGTGCCAAATTGGGTGCGGCGCCGCCATGCCAACGCAGCCACTGGGGCCTTCGGTGGAGCTCCCTATGGGGCCACGGAACGTGTGAGGGGTGTGCCAAATTGGGCGCGGCGCCTCCATGCGAACGCAGCCACTGGGGCCTTCGGTGGAGCTCCCTATGGGGCCACGAACGTGTGAGGGGTGTGCCAGAATGGGGGGTGGAACCGCATGCGGCGCAGCCACTGGGGCCTTCGGTGGAGCTCCCTATGGGGCCACCGTGTGAACAGGGGGGTTCTGGGGTGGAGCTCCCTATGGGGCCACGAAACGTGTGAGGGGTGTGCCAGAATGGGGGGTGGAACGCATGCGGCGCAGCCACTGGGGCCTTCGGTGGAGCTCCCTATGGGGCCACGAAACGTGTGAGGGGTGTGCCAGAATGGGGGGTGGAACCGCATGCGGGCGCAGCCACTGGGGCCTTCGGTGGAGCTCCCTATGGGGCCACGAAACGTGTGAGGGGTGTGCCAGAATGGGGGTGGAACCGCATGCGGGCGCAGCCACTGGGGCCTTCGGTGGAGCTCCCTATGGGGCCACGAAACGTGTGAGGGGTGTGCCAGAATGGGGGGTGGAACCGCATGCGGGCGCAGCCACTGGGGCCTTCGGTGGAGCTCCCTATGGGGCCACGAAACGTGTGAGGGGTGTGCCAGAATGGGGGGTGGAACCGCATGCGGGCGCAGCCACTGGGGCCTTCGGTGGAGCTCCCTATGGGGCCACGAAACGTGTGAGGGGTGTGCCAGAATGGGGGGTGGAACCGCATGCGGGCGCAGCCACTGGGGCCTTCGGTGGAGCTCCCTATGGGGCCACGAAACGTGTGAGGGGTGTGCCAGAATGGGGGGTGGAACCGCATGCGGGCGCAGCCACTGGGGCCTTCGGTGGAGCTCCCTATGGGGCCACGAAACGTGTGAGGGGTGTGCCAGAATGGGGGGTGGAACCGCATGCGGGCGCAGCCACTGGGGCCTTCGGTGGAGCTCCCTATGGGGCCACGAAACGTGTGAGGGGTGTGCCAGAATGGGGGGTGGAACCGCATGCGGGCGCAGCCACTGGGGCCTTCGGTGGAGCTCCCTATGGGGCCACGAAACGTGTGAGGGGTGTGCCAGAATGGGGGGTGGAACCGCATGCGGGCGCAGCCACTGGGGCCTTCGGTGGAGCTCCCTATGGGGCCACGAAACGTGTGAGGGGTGTGCCAGAATGGGGGGTGGAACCGCATGCGGCGCAGCCACTGGGGCCTTCGGTGGAGCTCCTTATGGGGCCACGAAACGTGTGAGGGGTGTGCCAGAATGGGGGGTGGAACCGCATGCGGACGCAGCCACTGGGGCCTTCGGTGGAGCTCCTTATGGGGCCACGAAACGTGTGAGGGGTGTGCCAGAATGGGGGTGGAACCGCATGCGGGCGCAGCCACTGGGGCCTTCGGTGGAGCTCCTATGGGGCCACGTGTGAGGGGTGTGCCAGAATGGGGGGTGGACCGCCTGCGGACGCAGCCACTGTGGCCTTCGGTGGAGCTCCTTATGGCCACGAAACGTGTGTCCTTGCGGACGCAGCCACTGGGGCTCCCACGAAGCGTGCGATGCCGTGCTAGGCCTTCGGTGGAGCCTATGGGGCCACGAACGTTGAAGGTGTGCCAGAATGGGGGGTGGAACCGCATGCGGGCGCAGCCACTGGGGCCTTCGGTGGAGCTCCCTATGGGGCCACGAAACGTGTGAGGGGTGTGCCAGAATGGGGGTGGAACCGCATGCGGGCGCAGCCACTGGGGCCTTCGGTGGAGCTCCTATGGGGCCACGAAACGTGTGAGGGGTGTGCCAGAATGGGGGGTGGAACCGCATGCGGGCGCAGCCACTGGGGCCTTCGGTGGAGCTCCCTATGGGGCCACGAAACGTGTGAGGGGTGTGCCAGAATGGGGGGTGGAACCGCATGCGGGCGCAGCCACTGGGGCCTTCGGTGGAGCTCCCTATGGGGCCACGAAACGTGTGAGGGGTGTGCCAGAATGGGGGGTGGAACCGCATGCGGACGCAGCCACTGGGGCCTTCGGTGGAGCTCCCTATGGGGCCACGAAACGTGTGAGGGGTGTGCCGTGTGGGGGTGGTGCCAGCGTGGACCGCAGCCACTGGGGCCTTCGGTGGAGCTCCTTATGGGGCCACGAAACGTGTGAGGGGTGTGCCAGAATGGGGGTGGAACCGCATGCGGACGCAGCCACTGGGGCCTTCGGTGGAGCTCCTTATGGGGCCACGAAACGTGTGAGGGGTGTGCCAGAATGGGTATGGGAGGGGGGGGAGGGGGGAGGAGGGAGGGAGGAAGGAGGCGGGAACGCGGGGCACCGTCTCTTCAAAACAAGGACCCAACACCACAGGATGGTTGGGAAATATTAAAAAGCCTCCCGTCGTGATTTTTTCATTGCTCCAAGGGGCCCCGCCCCCGCCGACAAGGACGGCCCGCCCCGCCGGCGGGGTAGACGCTGTGCCGCAGGTTGGTGCCGGTCCAGCCCTCCCGGCGGTCCCGCACCTTCGCCCCGAGCGTCCCGGGCGGCTCCTCCCCGGCGCTCGCTGGGGCGCAGGAGAGGCCTGCAGTACAGTAATCGCCTCCTCCTCCTCCTCCTCCTCCTCCTCCTCCTCCTCCTCCTCCTCCTCCTCCTCCTCCTCCTCCCCCTCGGCCTGACCTCAGCAACGATAAATAAGGAACGAAGCCCTGTTTTTTCAGGGAAGAACGCAGAAGGAAGGATGGAAAATAAATCACACATTATAGGAACGAGGAATAACGCAGGTGTTCCGTCTTCAAGCCGCTCGCTGTCGTCGTGCCACCATGCAGACGAAGGACGTCAAGGGAGAGAACATCAAGGCGCCGGAACATCAGGGAGGGCGGCATAAGCATGAGCGTTCGAAGTTCCGGGCGGAGTCCTTGGGTCGGCGCTGGACCCCCCCTTCCTGGCGCGCGCAACGCGCCAGGGGCGGCACCAGAGGCGCCGCTGGGGGGGCCAGCGCAGATCCGAGAAATTCGCGCGGAGCTCCGACAGCTTGCAGTCGGATAGCTCCAAGAACATGAGACCTCCCGCCGGCCAAACACACCCCAGACCAACAGGTCATGCGCGGGTGCTCTCCCCCAGGAGACGCAAGAGCCTTCAACGAGCACGAAGAACATCAGGGTGCCCTCCCTGAGCCGACCTCGATCTTCTTGCGGGACGGGAAAATGACCACAGCCACTGCTTCTTGTTTGCGCCGCCTTCCAGCCGGCCGAAAAAAGAAGCAGTGGTTGTGGTCATTTCCCTGGTGCCAAGCTTAACGAAAATGACCACAGCCACTGCTTTGTTTCTGCTGGCTGGAGGGCGGCAACAAAAGAAAAGCAGTGGCTGTGGTGGTTTTCACGTCCTGTACTTCTGCCTCGGTCCCACCGCACCTCGGTCCAAATAAGGAACGAGGCCCCTATCTTCCACAAGTTCAACTCCGATGTCCCATCGAAAACCAGAAGGAAAAGCCCAAGGCAAACTGGGAAGCAATCAAGGAGCACGGAGCCCCTCCCCAACGAGAAGGCTTCCTTCTTCAGGGCCCCGACGGTACCATCCGAAGCGCAGAGAAAGGGGGCGCCAGCGGCCGTTCGAGCCTCGGCGGGCCTGGGCAGCAGGCCGGAGTCACGCCATGGCATTCCATTACCGGGTCGCCATGTCCTCCCACAGGCGGAGGTCTGGCGAAAAATTGAACCTCGAGCGATCGGCGGCTTGTCGATAGCCAGATCGTTCCATGTAGGCCGATTCTACGGCAGGTTCGTGTCGTGTCGACCCCGGCGTTGGTTCCTGACACCGCGCTGGATCGTTCAACCTTGAACGATCGGCCGTCTCCGCAACGTCCGATCGTTCAACATCGACCGATTCTGGGCCGCCGTCGGCGTTCAACCTTGAACGCCCGCGCTGGGGTCGCCGCTGGTCGACACGACGCAAACCTACCGTAGGCCACTGGCGGCGTTCAACCTTGAACGCCCGCGGCGGGGTCGCCGCCAGTCGACACGACGTGAACCTACCGTACCATCCGAAGCGCAGAGAAAGGGGGGCGCCAGCAGCGGTTCGGGCCTGGGCGGGCCCGGGCAGCAGGCCGGAATCACGCCAGAACATCCGATGACCGGGTCGCCATGCCCTCCCACAGGCGGAGGTTTGGCGAAAAATACACGAGCAAACATCTCAAAGCAAAAAAACTAGCAAAATACACCAGCAAAAATCTCAAAGAATACCGAGCCCCTCCTGAGCCCAGGGCGGTCCGTGTTTCGGCGTCTTGAGTGTACGCCAGTCAGCGCGCATGTTCCCAAGGGTGCCCTTGCAGCCGTGCCCTTTCGGCCAGTCCTCAGGCAACCTTGACCAGTTCGAAGAACTTCAACTCGGGCGCCCCAGGGGCTTGCACCTTTACCGCGCTTGTTGTACCCTTGCATCCTTACCGCGCTTGTTATGCGCTTGCTACTTTCGCAACAAATGGGAAGTGCAACACAAAAAAACATCCTGGCGAAGGTCCTAACCATATGCAGTTGTGGGTACCGTAATTGTGAATATCTGCTTCGGTGAAGCTCCCTATGGGGCCACGAAACGCTGTACTGGGTGGGTGAAACGCAGGGAGGAGTGGAAGGAGGGCCACGAAACGCTGTACTGGGTGTGCGGGACGCATGCGGACGGTAGCACTGGGACCTTCGGTGGAGCTCCCTATGGGGCCACGCAGCGCTGTACTGGGTGTTCGGGACGCATGCGGACGGTAGCACTGGGACCTTCGGTGGGGCTCCCTATGGGGCCACGAAACGCTGTACTGGGTGGGTGAAACGCAGGGAGGAGGGGAAGGAGGGCCACAAAACGCTGTACTGGGTGTGCGGAACGCATGCGGACAGTAGCACTGGGACCTTCGGTGGAGCTCCCTATGGGGCCACGAAACGCTGTACTGGGTGTTCGGGACGCATGCGGACGGTAGACCCAACACCACAGGATGGTTGGGAATGAGAACGCGCTCAGTTTTTTTTTGGCTGTTGACTGGCTTGGTCCTCTCTTTTTCTCGCCGCGGCGACGACGACGACGACGACGACGACGACGACGACGACGACGACACACACACACACACACACATACGCACTCACGCACGCACTCACGCACGCACGCACGCGCGCACGCACGCACACACTCACGCACACGCACAAGCACACGCACACACGCGCACACACACGCACGCAATAAAAATCTATTAAGGAGCAGCCCGAAGACCAGAGCCCCTCCTGAGCCCAAAGCGGTCCTTGTTTCGGCGTCTTGACTGTACGCCAGTCAACGAGCATGTTCCCAAGGGTGCCCTTGCAGCCGTGCGCTTTCGGCCGGTCCTCAGGCAACCTTGACCAGTTCAAAGAACTTCAACTCGGGCGCCCCAGGGGCTTGCATCTTTACCGCGCTTGTTATACCCTTGCATCCTTACCGCACTTGTTGCGCGCTTGCTACTTTCAAAAACAAAAGGGGAATTGCAACCAAACATGAGAACGCGTTGAGATCCCTTTTGGCTGTTGACTGGTTTGGTCCTCTGCTTTTCTCGCCGCGGCGACGACGACGATTACTCTCATGCCAGCAATGGGCGGTGCCCCCCTCTCGCAGTAGCTTCGCCTGCCGAGGGGACCAGTAGCCATGGCGCACGCCTCGAAAAGGGGCTCTCTTCGAAGCCGACGCCGAGAGTATTTGGGAAGCACGGATGGCCACGCCACCCTGGTCTCCTACGGATACAATCAGAACAAAAAAAAACATCGCCGGTATGTGTTCGCGCTTTGCGCATGCAAGGTGACGGCCATAGCAACGAACTCACACGAACAACAAACGAGGCCGCGCCTGGTTCGTACACGTTCCTACGTGAAGAACCTGCACTGGTACGTTTGCCACCTCACTGCGGGCACCCCTTCTTCTCGTTTGTGCAACACCACTCCTTCTTGTCAGGGCTCCATCCAGCCTCCCAGTTGGAGTAACCTGCGTCACAATCATAAGGCTTCGATGAAGCTTCTGGGCAACCCATCTGCTTGTTCGGACAACACCAGTCTTTCTTGTCCTGGGACCAGCCAGCTTCCCAGTTCGAGTACCCAGCGTTGCAATCATACGGCTCGGACGGCGTCTCCACGCAGCCCATGTGCTTATTGGAGCAGCACCACCCCTTCTTGTCCGCAGACCACCCCGCCTCCCAGTTCGAGTAGCCGGCGTTGCAGTCGTACGGCTCAGACGGCGCCACCGGAGCCGGCGGCGGCGGGGGCGGCGCCACGGGAGCCGGCGGAGGCGGCGGGGGCGGCGCCACAGGAGCCGGCGGTGGCGGGGGCGGCGGCGGGGGCGGAGCCACGGGAGCCGGCGGGGGGGGCGGTGGCGGAGGAGGCGGCGGCGGCGTCGTGGGGCACCCTCTGCCTGCCTGCAAGCAGCAAGTGACCTTCTTGGAGACCTCCCAGGACGGCGGATCGCCCTCCGCGCAATCGACCTTTTTCTCCGTGGTCGTCACCGGCGGTGGCGGCGGGGGCGGGGGTGGCGGGGGTGGCGGAGGCGGCGGCGGGGGCGGCGGGGGCGGGGGCGGAGGCGCCTCGGTGGTGGTTGTTTCCTTGGTCGTCGTGGGAGCATCGGGCGGAGGCGTCATTGCCAACAGCGGTGGTGGAGTAGTGATGAGAACCGTGGTGGTCGTTGTCGTGGTGCTGGCTGAGCCCATCAGGAACCAGCAGAGCAGCGGGAGCAACAGCAGGCACAGTAGCAAGGGAATGAGGCATAAGCAAAAGCAGTTGGGGCCACGGTGAGGTAGGGGCAATATGCTCGAGATGACCGTCTCCGAACGTGCTTCTGGGCCACTCGCCCCCATGCCAACATACTTGTACGTTGTCTCCTGCACGTAGTCGCCCATTGGCCCGACGTAGGTTTGGGTCTGTGGCGGGCAGCCACCCGCGAGGCCGTAGCCACCAGCGCCACCGTAGCCGTAACCCGAAGAATTGCCACAACAACCCGCGTCGCCGCCATACGCGCCGCCGTAGCCCATACCCACACCACCGCTGCCGAAGCCGCCGCCACTGGCGTAAAGCATCCCTCTGTGAACGGGCAGAACAGAGTTGAAAACACAGGCCCTGACACGGGAGTCGCACTTGAGCCAAAATGGCTACGGATTGACTGATTTGGCCCTCTTGGAAATCCTGTGTGGGCACTCTGGCAGCCTCTTGGGGCCTCATTGTGCTGCTGGAGACTTCCTGGGGCACCCTGGGGGGGCTTCTGGGACCGTCGTGGGGCCCTCCTGGAACTTGTGCACAGCTCCGGGAGCCTACGGGTGGAGCTCGGGGGAGGCTCTGGGGAGGCCCCCGTGTGAGGGGAGGCGCCACTAGGGGAGCCTGGGTGCCAAGAGGCAATGCAAGAGGGGGGAGGTGGCGGGACGAGTAGAGTCGGTGAAGGCGGGGAAAGGCGGAAGCTGAATACGGAGGGGGGAATGGGGAAGAGGGACGGTGAAGGGAGATGGCGGACGTAAAACAGAGATGGAGGCCAGGAGGGGGAGGAGGAGGAGGAGGCAGAGGAGGAGGAGGAGGAGAAGGAGCAAGGGGAGGAGGAGGAGGAGGAGGAGGAGGAGGAGGAGGAGGAGGAGGAGGAGGAGCAAGGGGAGGAGGAGGCGGAGGAGGACGAGGAGGACGAGGAAAACGCGGAGGAAGAGGAGGATGAGGAGAAGGAGGAGGAGGAGGAGGAGGAGGAGGGTAGAGGGCGGAGGGTGAGGGGGAGGAGGGTATAGGGGGAGAGGGAAAGGGGAAGGATGCGGAGGAGTGAAGGGGAGAATGTTTTGTATGCCTTCTGGAATGGAGGTGTCTTCGATTTGAGGTGTGCACGAAATATCTTGTAAACTCTACGGGGGCCGCTCGGGGACTCGTTGGGGCCACTTGGGCGTCCACTGAGGGCCTCTTGGGGGCCTCTTGGGGGCTTCTTGGCAGATCTTTGGGGGATTCAAGGGGCCTCCTGGGAACCGCTAGGATGCTCCCGGGGCAACCCTGGCGACAAGGGCGATCGGAGGGCCTCTCGGAGGGCGCTTTGGGGGCCTCTTTGAAGCCTTTGGGGGCCCTCTTGAGGCGCTTCTGGTCCGTCTTGGGCGCCCTGCGGCCCTGTCAGAGCCTCTTCGGAGGCCTTTGGGCGCTCTTGAGGGCCTCTTGGAGCCGCCTGGGACGCTGGTACTATAAATCAGTGAATATGCCAAGCCTCTGCGTTTTTCTACGGGAACGTGTTGATTTGGGCCGCTCAGGGCCCTGAGGGGTTCTCTTGGAGCTGTTTCCTGGGCGTCTTGGGGGCCTCTTGGGCCGTCCTGAGACCACTCTCCGCCGTCCTCGAGCAGTCTGGAAGCCGTCCGGGACGTCCGGAACTTCTGCGATGGGTCTGGGCACTGCGGGGAAAGCTCCGGACAGGCTCCAGGGACGCCCCCGGGGAGGCTCCGGGCGGGGAGGGGGCACTCGGTGTGCCACCGTGGCCCCTGATGTGCTGCGGCCCCAGGGGGGCCCCAGGGCCGGGCTTCCAGCATGCGAGAGATATGGATTCACACACACACATATATATATACATACATATACATATACATATACATATACATATATATATACATGTATATACACACAGTCATACATCTAAATATGTATATATGTATGTCTGTATGTATGTGAGTATCTATGGATGGATGGATGGATGGATGGAAGGATGGATGGATGAATGGATGTGTCTGCGTATGTGTGTATGTATGTATGTATGTATGCATGCATGCATGCATGCATGCATGTATGTATGTATGTATGTGTGTATGTATGTATGTATGTATGTATGTATGTATGTGTGTATGTATGTGTGTACGTACGTACGTACGTACGTACGTACGTATGTATGTATGTATGTATGTATGTGTGTATGTATGTATGTATGTATGCATGTATGTATGTATGTATGCATGTATGTATGTTTGTATATGTATGTATGTATGTATGTATGTATGTGTGTATGTATGTATGTGTGTTTGTATGTATGTATGTATGTATGTGTGTATGCGTCTATGTATGAATGTGTGTATGTATGTATGTGTGTAGGTATGTATGCATGTTTGTATGTATGTATGAATGCCTGCATGTATTAATGTATACGTATGTAAAGATATATTAATAATGTATATGTGTTTGTAGTTATATATATATATAAATCCCTCTCTCTCTCCCTCTCCCTCTCCCTCCCGTGCACTGTTCTGCGCTCTCGTGAAGTCGTCTGGGGCCAGCTTCTGACCCGCGTGGGCTGTCTCGGGGCCCTCTCGAAGCGTCGCGGGCCCAGGAGCCGAGGCTCCACAGCCCAGGACCTACGCGGATCTCGAACAACACATGCGGCGTGTCCCCCAAAGATGGGCCCCGAGACCGAAAGCAGACACCCATGAGGCCCCAGGACGCCCCCAAGAAGAGGCCCCAAGAGACCCCCAAGAGGCTGCCAAGAGGCCTCGCAACGGGCTAGGCGCCCCAAAGAAGCCCCCGAAGGACCCCGAGAAGCGCCAAAAAGGCCTCCAAGAGGCCCACGAGCGTTACCCCAACAGACTCTAACAAGCATCCAAGAATCACAACCTAGGCACGGGGACGCGATGGGCCGAAGGCCAGTATGTATACAAACATACGCACAAATAAAACTGCGTACGCGCGCTTCGAAGCACTGGACAGGGCAACATAACTTGATGCGGGCCAATGAGAAGCGCTGCTGCTGCTGCTGTTGCTTGATCGTGTTTGCGGTCTTTGCTGCTGTTTGTATAGTGCCGATTGTTGCACACTGTTGTATACTGCCCATTGCTGCTGCATTCTGCCGCTTGAGCATTCCTTCTCGCCTTCTGGGCCTGACTTGGGACACACAGTGCGCTTTGTGAGGCCCTCGAAAGCTGGAATCGTGTTGGGAACTCTCTTAGGCCGTCCGAGTGCCCAGCTCAACTTGAGTCCTTTCGAAACTAACTTGGACCGCCTTGGACCCTTCTGGCAACCTTCGTGGACTCTACTGAAATCTC